GTAGCTTTCTGGTAAACGGTGCGCTGTATCGTGCCATCTCGCCTCGTCAATAGTACATCCAGAAAAGGCAGGCGGTTATCATCCTCAACTTCACAGGTGAAGCGGGCATTTGGGTGTGCAGCGTTCATAACTCTGAGAAGGGACCGAGCCGCCTCTAAGGCTGTTGTGATCACCAATGTGTCGCCCACATACATCTAGTAAAGGCATATTCTTCCGAGCTCTGGCTCATAGCGCGACTCGACCATCGCCATGAAGATGTCTGCCAGCATAGGGTCAAGGGGACTACCATAGCGAAGCCATCAACCTGTCGATACGCCTGTCCCTCGAAAATAAACGATACGTTTTCCGTGCAGAGTAGCAAAAACGCTTGAGATACTCTACAGGAATCGCCAGAGGCACTTTCTCACTAGTGATAAAGTCACATAAGAAATCCACAGTTCCTCTCAGAGGAATATTGGTAAACAAAGACTGTACATCCATGGAACACATCACCTAGCCCGAAATGTTGATTTCGCACAATTGTTCAATTAACACAAAGGTATCTTTCAAGGTGTGCTTTACAATCATCTTTCTAACTGGCATCAGTAGTTCAACTAATCAGCGTGCTAGCTTGTTATACGTTGAGTTATGCATGGATAATATTGATCTATGTGGGACGTTATCTTTATGAATCTTGGGTAGGCCATACATCTGGGGGATGTCGGTGCTCAGCGGCTTAAGTACGTTGTATGTCACCTGTGTTATCATCCCATGAAACAGTAGTATTTTCAGATGTTTGCTTAACTACCACTCAATGTGTGTTATGTTGGTTGCACTTTCGTCCACATGAAATTTTGCCCTGTCCTCCAGAATCTCTTCCATCTTGTTTTTATAATCCGCCATATCCATGATGTGCACTATAGTACCTTTGTCCGGTTTCAACACCATGAAGCTTTTGCTTCCCAAATCACGTAGCGATTCAATGTTATTACAATCCAGGCAGCAGAACTGACGAATCGGAGCCAAGATGAAACCTCTTGCGATGTCAACTAGCTTAACTTTGAGCCGGTTATAGTTCTCTTGAGAGGTTAGTTTTAGCTCAGAGTTGATCAAGTGGGTTTTCAAATTGTGCCGCCACCTGAATGTCATTGACAACTTTGGTGGGATTTCGAACTGTACAACGGATGATAGAGCTCCGAGTTCTTTCCTATTTACTGAGGTCGAAAAAAGATTATACACGTTTTCGTAAATCGCTATGAAATGGTATTTCTTCTTCATCGTTTTCGAGGGATCTATGTTGCTCCTTAGCCAGTTTCTTTTCGTTCTATCAATGACGGTTTTTACAAATATTCATGTACTTGATTCGAGAGACTAAAGGCAACTGATCAACTGTGGATGTATGACTTTCAGTTATCTCCAACAACTGATAACCTTCTGTTTGCTTCCTACAAGTATGAATTGGCGAGCCGTCTTAGGTTTGTGAATGTTAGCTTCATCTTATTCCTCCTCAGCAATTTACTAAGCCGATCTCCGCCACAACGCACTGTATCTATCGATTTGCATGTAACTGTGGCCGCAGTTACATCGACAGAACAGTCCGTTGCTTGTGTAAGCGGATTGAGGAGCACATTCCGAAGCGTATCGTTATCATGACAAGGCAGCCGCAAACGGGACCTGTATCGACGAACAACACACCTGCCTCTTCGGTTGCGAAACACCTGAAGGAAACGAGTCATCAGGTGGAACCCAACTCGGCGTTTAGTGTCATCTATCGTAACACAAACGCCTGAGTCCTCAAGTTTGCCGAGGTAGTGGCCATAAAGAAGCATTCACGAACACTATGCGTCCAGAAGCAACTGTTCGTTTCGCTCAAACTCTATTGGAGTTAATAATTCCTTCCCAAACTGTAGCCAACATTTGCATCGCTTACATGTGACCTCACGCATTTTTGTCCCGTTATCATTTGATATGTTGTCCGATTGCAAGTGAACAGAGGGCACAAAATAGTACCAAATTGCAACATTCGTCTTCTTATTGTGCTACACAAGTTAAACTGTGGGTTATAGAAGGAATGTTAATAATGGGGGCCGGGATGGGAGTAAGAGGTATGGGTGGAAAAGAAAGAAGGGAGGCACCAGCGTAGTATCTTTCCGCTTATCCGCCCTGCTGTATGCAGCCCATGAGGCGACGTTTGATAATCTGCGCGACGGCCGATGCTGGATGCGGTGGAAGTTTAAAAAAGCAGTCATGGTTGTATGTGAGCTGAGGTACTGCCAGGGCGCCCATACCAAGATAGGAGAACGGTTAAGCTCCTCAACCAAAGCCTTTGGTGTAAAAGTCTGTCCGCAAGACAGCGCGGAGGTGGCATGGATTTAGTTTTTCAAAAATGGACGCCATCCCATTTCAAACCCCCAACTTGAAGGATCAATCTAGTAGGAGTAGCTCTCAGGGCGCCCTGGGGCACTATCCAATATAGCTCAATGTGTTGGCGAGGTAGGCAAACTGTCGCATAATGTTAAAGTTCAGTCTCATTGTGACGATACCACTAGCCTACGCGGGACGATAACGACCGATGTGATTAAGTTAGTAGGTGTGATATAGCACCGCCCATTATTTGTAATTGGTATGCAGGCCAAACTGCTTGCAATGCCGTTACTTGATTGGCTGCTTAAGTTTGATAACTTCTTCGCTTGGTGAGGGGGCTACACTTACCTCTACACGGTAGTAACTTGCAAGTCAGTGGATAGTGTGTAGCGCTATATCACGTGTTGTAACTTAGGCACAATGGTCGTTGCCGTCCCCCGTGGCTAAGTGGTCTAAACCACAGACTGGCAACAGTCAAGTGGCGGGTTCGAGCCCCACTGGACAAATTAGCGTTGGCTGTCAGACGTTTCGGGCTATGCTTTGCAACGTCGAAGTGCTAAGTCCTCCTAAATTGCACTGACCGTTAGTGGTGATCAGCTAGAAGTCGTCGATAAATTCAAGTATCCAGGTAGCTATATCAGCAGCAGTGGAATGGAAGATGAGATCACGAATGGTATAACAAAAGCTCGATGCGTTAGTGCAATATCACTCTCGCCCTGACTGGCAGAGAGTTTATGATGCAGCCGCCCGTTCAACCCTCCTGAACGGTTGTGAAACCTATCCCATCAGGTCAACGGACATAAAGTGTCTAGTTACCTTCGATCATCGCTGCTTTCACAGCGCCTATGTAGTGAATGTGTTCGACGTCGTGGGTTTGGTGCAGGAAGAGCGAGTGAATCGCTCGGCACCGTTACTTCACGCAACAGACTCCGATGGCTGGGCCACGTGTTTCGCATGCCAGGGCATCGACTCCCGCGTAGTGCATTGTTTGCACCCCGGGGATGTGGATAGAAGAGGAGGAGCGGAGGCCAAGCGATGATTTGGTCGAGAGGATTGAAACCATCACTTCGAGGTTGGCGTAGGTTAGTGTTTACCGACTGCCGAGCTGGGGTCAGAAGGACGATGAACACATTTGCTTGTATGCACTTGTTGACATGATGAAGAGCTGGAATCAATAGCGTTTGTGTTGTATATTTGTCTCTCCCCATCTCGCTTATCTTCACCTTTTTATCACATTCAGTCTTGAAACACGTGTCACTAAGCAGTAGGTTATCCGTTGCTTTTGTAGTCTACTGTTTGCCATCCCGTTTTTTCACATATCTTCTCGTATTGCGGCGCAACGGTTGAAGTGTTTCTCACCTTTAGCTAGTGTGTAACGATAATGGTGCACTGCTGACAATTCAGTACAGTGCTTTTCCGAGCGTATGATGGCTGAGTCTAGATGTGATGAAGTTATACTATGCAACTCTCACTACTACTTCTTTGTAACTGCCGCCTTATGAGAGGCTTGACAGCTGCCTACGTAGAGCCTATCGGTCGCCGCAGATTGGTATTGATAAACTACCTTATACGTCAAATTCTCGTTGTAATCTTTACCCATTTTCCACTCTTGCTAAATTTGGTTTTCTTTCTGACACTGTTATATCATACTCTTGTCAGAGTTGTCACGCTTGCTTTTCGGTCCAACGGAAGTCACGAATGCAGCTCATAACGGCTTGGTCGAGTGTAGAAATGGTATATTTCTCATTCATCTTTTACTTTTTTCTATTTTGGATGTCTTGTTTTTGTGCATCAGCTGCGATATGGTAACTGGTGGGAATTTATTCTTGGTTATATAAAGTCTATTTTCACTCGTTTACCTGAAGATACCATCCAGGGTAAAAATTGATTTAAAGTAAGAACCTGGGACCACCCTTGGGAGGTTCACTTATTGACAGAAACACATCCGACGTTGATAGTGCCTGAAGTGTTTTTTTTACTATGACGCATTTTATGCTTTTCACATACACTTATACATGGGCTGCTCTCCTGACGGGATCATTTAACACACGTGAACAACCGCCTGAGAAACTCGTTTAGGTCAGAGTGGCGATATGGTTCATGCAGCCCCTGGTAAGTCATCCACATGCACGCTCTTCCCTTGCACACGTTCTCTCTCCCACAGTAGCATAGGGGCTATTGTCTGCACTGCCTACGGTGCGAATACAACTGTTTACTGTCTTCGGGTGGGATTGGTTGTTGTATTGTCAATTCAATTTATGGATCACGCTTAATGGTCCAAAATACCAAAATAAGTTGGAGTCAGTTGTCTTGCTCGACTTCAATGAAGTATTAATGATAATAAACAACCAATGGTAATTCAACAATGCGCTAAATAGTTTGATCAGATGTAGCACTTAAGCATCTGACATAATGAGTAGATGCAGTGGCGCCACTGACTTTTAGATTGCACGTAGAGTACACGCCGCGCATACTTGTTCATCTCGTTTTCCTTTACCTTAACAGAGGCATTTTTATCTACCTCCCAAGAGGCGGGTTTCCGTTATTCATTTCTTTTAACCTTCGCCACATGCGCACCGCACAATTCCCACGCAGATTATTGTTTGATCACACTGGTCTTACTGAGTTTGATTACTTCCCTTTTTGTCCTTTTTCAGTGGGAATGACTTTCGTTCCTTAAGTCCTCACTCCTCGCAGTCACCTTGCCAGACTACCGACGCACAAACCACATTTGTCTCTACTTCCACTGACACCGACCACTTATCAAATAGTTCGGCTCCTTCCGCAACTCAGCCCAATGTTTCTTCTTATTATGTTGACTCGGTTGGTCAGAACTCCTCCACCAATTCTGGTAGCTCCCTGGTCCATCGGTTGTTCGGTGGACAATTGGTACATCACACATCGTGCACTGAGTGCGCCCATGTGTCGAGCACGCGGTATGAACACTTTTCTCTGTTGTATCTCCCCGTCGCGTCCACCGAGGAGATAACGCTGGAATCAGAACAGAAGCAAGCAGGATCCAGCTATGCGGTAAGTGTTTCCACTTACTTTACACCTTTTCTCATCATTCAGATTGCCTGTCACTTTTGCTTAAAGCCTGAGACAGTGGCTCCATCAACCTAGTTGGAGAACTGTGGCTCCTTGTCTCATTTACCAACGATTTTTAGCCACTACTCCACTTCGACTGCTTTTGAAAATAGGTATCTGGTTGTATTTTGGTATTGAATAGTATAACTTTTCCAACTAAAATTGCCTACCCCATTAGGCCATCAAGTGCTAGATGTGTCGATCATCTTTGTTCCTCTTGATTCGCTCCGCACCACCACAGCATTAAGTATTAACACTGAGATTTAGGTGTCATCTTGACCCATCCTACTGTATTGTGTTGCCATTATTATCGAAACTATAAGCGTCCGAATCGGGGTCACCAATTTGTAGGACTAGTAAATACTAGTCCGAGACGGTGCGCGAAATTAAGCGCGGATATCAGAAGCAGTTGGAGTCAGACATAGCGAAATGTATTCGATGGGCTATAAGAAGAGGCGGACGGATGAAGCGAGACAAGAGAAACACGTTAGCGCGGGAACTTACAAGACGGTCAAGTGTCGGGCGGCATGTAGGTCAAGATGGACGTAATGTAAGGAAGATTTAAACAAGAAAGGATAGTGTACAATTGGTCATCACCGTAATTGTACGCAAAAGATAATAGTTCTTTTGGGCCGCTACAATACTTATCGCGGGTGCGTTGCTAACCAACTTACTTCATATGCTAATTTAGCGAGGAGCTATGCCCGCATAGCCGTATGCTTTGACAGATATATTTAATTTGATAATGTCATTTCAATGGATTGACTTTTGTTCGACATCCCCGGTGTGGCTGCGCTTGATGTGCATGCTGACAAGGTGCCTACCTGTCTATTACCCACTACCTCGTCCATACTGGCTCCAGGAGACAGTTGCTCGTTGCGGGAAGGGTCGGGGTGCACGGTCTCTGTGGCCGTGCTCGGCTCGAAGCGTAGTTCCATGCATTCAATGTGGAGGAGACTACGGTCCAGCCACCGCCTTGTGTACGCTTGATTCCCGAAATACAGCGTGCTTGTGTTTGCCTATGAAGGAGTGTGGGCCGGCTCCGTTGATGAATCGTGGCTCCCGTCCACATGCCTCCCGGTCTTGTTCCTTCGGGTTTACACTGGATATGGGGTATGTGGTTGGAGCTGTGGGTGGTGCAGCGCAAGCCACTCATGGTCCCTCCGTAGACGCAGGCGTGCTGTGGCTGGCCACAGTCGCAGACAAATCCGAAACCGGATGGCACCAACCATAAGCTTGCCTATTGATGATGTTGCTCCTTCACTAATTGCTTTCGTAGTAAGATGATAATTCTAACACATTCCGTTCGGGATTCAAAGGCCCTAATCAGGAATAGTATCTTAATCCTTTGCGCTCCTTGATGCAGTGTGTTGTAAACTCGATTTTTTCTTCTCCAAGGTGCACTCTAATCATACTTTACTTCTTTCTCTCAGTGTAGATGGAACAAGATGCACGTGCTTCACACGCCGATCTTGATCTCACTTCTTTGATTCGCACCCATTTCACACAAATCGAATACGTGCCGACCCAGGAACAATGCGAATCTTGCGGCAAAGTAGCTAAGCGAGCCCGAAGGTTGAGCTTACGTCATTTAGCCTCACACGTGTTTATCTGTTTGAATGTATTCACTTATTGTCGTTCAAAACAATCCGGATCGAAGATCTCGCACAGAATCGCCATTCCCGAGCGTCTATCTGTGACTTTTTCTGAGCATAACAACACGTCCACCGATGCGAATGTGTCAACCGTGCCTCAGTCGGGTGATGAACACCCGCAAGCAGTTACTTCTCGTTCCTACGCTTTGCACGGTATGATATTACATCACGGAATGTCCATCAGTTGCGGTCACTACACCTGTGTCACTCGAGTGGGCATGCAGTGGATTTGGTTTGATGACGACACTGCTCGATACACCACTCTCGAGCAGGTGTACTCAAAACCAATGACTACACCGTACCTACTTTTGTACATACAAGTTTGATGATCTCTGTTTTCTTTCGACAAACCCTATTACCATAATCTTCCAGTTAGAGATTTATTTGTGCCTTATTGTACAGACCTACGTTAACTTACTTCATTTAGCTCTCACAATGTCTCTGCTCACCGATCGTTGGCTGTGCAATACCTCTTCTTCTTTCTCCTCCTCCAGTGACCATAATTTACCACTTAAATCTGGCATACCAATACCAGGCACTTTTCCCATGTATACTTTTACCTCGATCTGGCGAGCATATCCTTGCGCGTGATTCTTAGATTGAATCCACATGCGTGCATCACAGTTTTGAGTGCGTGAATCTCACCGTTTTACCACTGTGAACACGCTTGCAGTTATGGCATGTGTTGATGCTTCGACCAGCACTTGGATCCACCTCAAAGTCAAGACTGGATGATAGAACTAATAAACTAAAATTTGCCGATAGCATGTATTTAGCATCTTTTCTCTAGGCAACCTACACCTTGAGTACTTGAGCAGGTTTTATTCGAAAGATTTTGCGTTTACGAAGTGCCATAAACTCCTTTTTCTTTCACTCTTCAACCTAAAGCACAAGAAGACGTTTTATTCCTGAGTTGTACAACGGTTGGATTTCACTGGGTGTAGAGGGCGCAGATTGTTTTCCACCTGCCGTCGCCGAATCGTTAAGCACTCGCAACCTCAAGCTATGCTACCTGTAGGAAAAATTAACCGAAACTTTGCGGAGTTTTTGTACTCTGCGTCGCGCAATTTTCTCGCTCCAGGTTTAATAGGTTTAGATACAATCTAAAACAATGGCTTCTCGATTGTTTCCATGTATATTCCAACCTTTTTCATACAAATGTTTCCCAGCGCAGGTTTTTAGAGTTTGGCGCATCAACTCCTGACATCTGGTGGACAAGGTCATCATGAGCAGTTGTACGAATCTGCGCAACAACCGTCTTTAGTTATGCGGTATGAATCACAAATTTCCAGAGTATTTTCTGGACTACCATAGAGTTGGCCCTGAGGTTCTTTTTACTACAACAGCTAAAATCACCGCATTCAGTTAATATTCGCTTTCTAAGTAAGTTGTCTGACGATGGCATTCTTATTGTTTTCACTCCGTCAACAACGCAGCGCACTCACCTCTTTGTGGTTCATCTCTACATACTAGGCACGTATTTGGAATAGTTTTACCAGCATGTTTGAGTAGCTGATCTAGGGCTACAAATCCTGTTTTCTGCATTAGTGGACGGACGATGTTGGGGAACTTGTTGATTATAGTGTAAATTGCACCAAGGTATGGGGTTTTCCGTTGAACACGCTGCTCTCTTTACGGGTATTACTAGTAATATTAATAGAGGCCAGACTGTGGAACGCTAGTTGTCATCTAGAACTTTGTCACCGAAATTGTCTACTAATACTCTACTTTGAGTGCGATGAAACGTCTTTGCCCGACAAGTGGCAGTGTGGTCACTCGCAGTTTGCGTACCTCTTCGATCCATTGAGCTATACTGGGTGGGGCCCCTGACACCTACTCCTACCAGATTAGTCGATGTTTAAGGGTAAGACAAACACAGTTTCCTGGTCCTCCAGGTTGTGGGTTTGCAATGACATGGCGTCCATTTCTGTAAAATCAAATCGTTACCTCATCCGGGCTTTTGAGCTATAGGCTTTGGTTGAGAACCCTAAACGTTCTCTTGTTTAGGCCTGGGCGCCCTGACAGCATCTTAGCCCTATGCGTTGTATCACTTAAAATTCCACATTTCATGGATTGGACTGTCGATTGAGCAATTCCGGCGTCTTCCTAAAATCCAACATTGTTTCATTTAAATTTTTGTGTAAGAATTGTCGAAATGAAATACAGCCGGAGAATGTGGAACAGAATCGCGAGCTATCTTATAGAGTGAATCATTACGTTGCGAGTATCTCCGTGTGTTTGGTCCAACAGGCTAGCCCGAAACGCCTCCAGGTTTCAGGTAAGCTTTCCTTGTTCGTCCGGTGCAGACTCATCGGCACGAAGTTTCACCGTTGCGGGTATTTCAGCGCCGAAATTTCGAAGAGCAGCTGGAAGCCGCAGCGAAACTGTTTTTAAGAGGGTCTTCGCCCATGTGAAGCGGCGCCTGGGGCCTGTAGACAATGTGCCAGTGATAGGGCGCTCAGATGGACTGCCCCTAACCTCAAGCACAGATCGTGCGTCCGCATTGGTGGCGCACTTCGTTTCCGTATTTGCACGTGTTTGACGTGTACCGCCTCTACCGAACTGGACAGTCTGGATTGCAGCATTGAAGATGTATCCAAATTGCTGGCCAGTCTTGACGGGACGTAGCCTGCCGGACCTGATGGTATCCACCTATTTATCCTCAAGCCATTATCGGCCATCATCGCCTTCCGCAACTGAGCTAACAGTTCATTATTCACTGTTTCATTATCAAGCGACTGGAAATGCTGAGTCGTAAAGCTATTACCGAAAGGTGGCGACCCAAACAAAGTGGATAACTACCGGCCGATCTGCCTGACTGTTGTTTTTGCAACGACGCTTGAGAGGATAGTAAAGAAGTGTCTTTTACAGCTTATCGAGTCGAAAAGCCTCTTCACGATCCCACAGCGTGTTTACGTGAAAGGTCATTCATGCATCATCAACCTACTGTTGACGATGCACGAATGGTTACAAGCGCTGAACCAGGCGAAGTCTTTTGACCTCATTTGCATTAACTTCAGTCAGGCTTTTGACAAGGTGAATCTTGAGGCACTCTTCTACAGGCTGAGAGTGTGTAGTGTTAGTGGCTCGCTGCGCCGATGAATCAGGTATCCCCTTACTAGTCGAATGTGGAGGGTTTATGTCGATAACCTTCTGACCTACTGGTATCCCTCGAGCAGTGACGTGCCCCAAGGCACTGTAATGCGGCACATTTTGTTTCTAATCTATGTAAACAATGTGCTTCAACTTCTCCGTTCTCGTTGTGCGTTACTTGCAGATAACTTGTAGGTGTGGGGAGTAACCTACGCACCCAATAACTATGGCATGCTTCAGCGAGACCCTGACCACCTCTCCATGTGGTCTGCACGGATCAACCTCCCGATAAACCCAGTCCATTCGCTATTCATGAGGCAAAGTAAGTGTGAACACAGCCGAACCTACATGGTGTCCAGTCAATCGTTGCATCCCGCGCTTTTCATAAGGGATCTCGGTGTATTCTCACACTGCGTCTTAAAATCCGTGGACAACACGAATAGGCTTTGCCGAAACGGACTTCGCATGCTTTGGGCGCTCAAGTGTGACTTCGCTACTTGGTCCGTGGAGATTACCACTCGCCTCTTCGTTTCAATAATATGCCCAATGCTAGAGTACCTCTCACCCGCATACTGTCTTCTCACCAAGAACAAGGTAGAAATGCTTGAACAAGTACTGCATGTGATCACCAGGCTCTTCTCCACTTTACCAGGTATGCCTTACAAAGGCCGGTGCAAGATTCTAGGGCTCTACACCCCGTCTTATCGTCGATTGCGGGTTGACGTTATCATGATGCACCGCCTATTACATCTTGGTGAGTACTCCATGTGGAGTCTGCCACTCCATTTGCGCACACGAGAACACCCAGTGCAAGCATGAAGTACGGGGTTTGATTCGGGTCGCCCACCAAATCTGTTTCGAACGGAGAGCGGTGAATATATAGAACAATCTGCTATTGCACGTAGTCGAGGCAAACTTGGTGTCGGAATTCAAGAAATTCTTAGACAACCAGTTTGCCGATATTAAATAACTCGAACGCTTTCCAACACAAATATTTTTATACCTGAGGGATTTGAGATGTAGCTACACAGAGACATCTCTTCTTGCTGCTTCCATTCAGTATACGAATCTTTTAAATGTGTTGTATCCTACGGGCAACTATGTCCCGATGTGTTAAGGCCTGTGTGCTGAAGACACATGGAAAGTAATAAGAGGGAAAAACAGTTCAACCGCTGTAAATCAGCGGCAGACTAGACAACATGCAGTTCGGGGAAGCCATCATCCTGCAAAATCAATCTTGGCGGACCAGAGGGGTTTTGCTCTCGTTTTCTTCCACTCGCCTGAGTTCATTGATCCAAGTCCCCAGATTCACTACGATCATGACGTTGCGTTTTTACAGAGCCTAATTGGTTGACTCCTCGAGGTGGGTGAGTGACGGTTGGAAGTGAGCAAATTACCCGTGTCGGAAAGTAAGGTGGTCAACAAAGTTGACCAGTGATAATCACCTTTGTGGACAAAGTAAATCCGAGTCCGGTCTTATGTTGCTTAAATAGGTTGAAAGGTTTAAAGATCCCTATTTGTCCAGAACTGGATCCGGTGGATCGAGAACGGCTCAAGTCTGCCATCATTGAGCTGAAAAGACGAAATGACGATGAAGAAACACACCTATGTACCTTATATGTTCGAGTCGTTTCCAAACTCTACGAAACAAGATAAACGAGTTTCTCATCCTTCAAACAAGCCCGGTGATTCATGCTGTGGTCTGCGTGTAGCATTCACCAACGTTTGGAGTCTTATGAACAAACGCGATGAACTCTGTCGTTTCGTTGATTCTGAGCGGCCAGACGTAGTGGACTTGCGGAGATATGGTTGAATTCTGAGGTGATTACCAAGGAAATCGAACGCGGTGCGTATTCATGCTTCTTCTGCGATAGACTATTGACTGTCCGAGGTGGCGCCTTGCTCTACATTTGGTCTTCGCTTTGTGGGAGAGTTGTGAGTGTCTATAAAAGCGGTTATGGCCGCCTGTGTGAGCAACGGGGGTGCTCGATCCATCTCAGACGCGGGGAGCTGCTCATGGCTGCATTTTATTGCAGTACCCTGAGCCGTGGATTGGAGTGTCTGTCGCATCTTCGAAGCCACATAAGTCGTCCCCGTTTTCCACTCATGGGTGATTTCAATTGTCCTCGGATACGCTGGCTTGAAGTCGAACTTCTGCCAGGACATTGCGCAGTCGAAACAAAGTTCATAGACTTATTACTTGAAAGTGGAGCATCGCAACACATATGCCATGGGACACTAATAACGCCCTGCTCAACTGTGTCGTGCCTGGACTTGGTGTTGCCAAGTTATGGACAGCATGTGTGTGCTTTTCAGGTCCTAGAGCCCCTAGCAGCAAGCGACCACTTAGTGCTCATATCCTGTTTGGATTTATCTTTACCGTATTCCCGTCCGCTGGAACCAGCTTACAGCTACTGGAAAACTGACTTCGACTGTCTCATTCGTGCCAAGTGGATTGTTCTCTGGCGCAAGCTACATCTGTGAGAGGCTGTTGAACTGTTATAAAAAGAGACAGTGGTTTATTCTCGGTTTGTGCCATTGAGGTGTCGGGAAGTTGGACCAGTCAAGCCGCGTTCCTTCGACAGTGTATATGATAGAATGGCTCGGTGGCGGCGAAAATTGTGGGATGAATTCCTCCTCTCTGGCTCTTCCAATGAATACGAGGACGATAAGACTCAGCGATATATTTGCGTTGGTGGAAAAACCAGTGAGCGCCGTCTTTTCAAAGAGCATTTCGCAATCGCCCTCAAGGGTACCCCGAAGAGAAGCTTGCCTACGCGAAGCGACACCTGAAGTCGGC